TATATATATATATTTTAAAAAATTCGTGTATTTATGTACGATGTACATATGGCTCAGATCCGTCGGGAGTGATTTGAAGTTGTGTTTTAGTCATCTTTAGGATTGAGCTCAGGAGTATCTTGTCATGATATATCAGTTGCCCTGTACTTTGACTTTTGGGTCAAACTATAGGAACCGCACTGGGTCGACGATGATTTGTGGTTCGTCCCTGTAAAATCGACCGGAGGTAGAATGGCTGGAAGATGGCACCCAAAGTCTTCTGAATGCAGACTGTGTGCAGCCGCGTGTCAAGAGAGGAACAAGAGCAGCGTGCTGCTTTAACCTTTGATACCATGCCCTTAACCATATACCCCGAACCCTCAACCCTATTGCTTAAACCCTTGTTTCTGAACCGGTTCTAAACCAGGTACGAACCAAAGGCCTAAACGTCATCATCCCAAAACATAAGCCCGAATTGACATGTGGTAGAGAGTGGAAGGAGTGGGTTGCTTAGTTTGAAACACTTAAGCCGTGAAGTCGAAAGGCCACTTCACCAGCCCTCTTCTTGCCCATACCGGGAGTCTGCCTAGGCTTTCACGGGCAGCCTCAGAATTTATGTATGTTTGACTGGCAACCGCCAGCAGCATTGGCGCCTATCAGTTTCGTGTAAACTCATATCATGACATGCACAGCAAGGCTAATGTTCCGGTTCCTCTCCATGAGTGAGCAAGTCACGTGGAAGGTTTGTCGGAGCCATGCGTTGATCCATCGCCCTGCGCATTCATACCTGGAAGATAAGACTGTTAAGCCCTCCACCCTAAAGCGATGACCACGACTGCAACGACTACGACCAGTTCTTGGCAAGTTTGGAACAGTTTCGTTTAGACTCGGCACCAAGGCGGCAGATCAATCTGACCTGGCCCATGCAAACAAGGACATCGAGCGGAACCACCCAGAGATCACGGGGATGGTAAACAGTAGCAAGCTTGGAAGGTAATCCTTGGGTGCTTTAAGCTTTGAGAATTGCGGGCTGAGGGGTTTCGGATTTCAGAGGTTTAGGTTTAGGGCTGCCCGTCACAACCTAAGACAGGCGAGTGCAATGTGCCTTTCATTCCGGTTCAGCGGTTGGGGTCCGCACCCTGGAGATCTTGTTGAAACCCTGCCAGCCAAGCCCATAAAGCATACTCGCACAAAAGTGAGGATTCAGGTTCCAGTGACCTACAAGGTATACATGTTGTCGAGAACAGGCTAAACACGCTGCAACCTGTGGGAGGAAATATTTCACTGAATGAGAGTACTCGCAATAACAGGGATAAAGACAAAGGGTAGTATCACCATCGTCGTCATCATCATGATCGTTTTCTGTTTCTTTGCGGAATAGTAGTACAGCTGTATGTATGTATGTATGTA